TTCAGAGCCGCCGCGGGCCCCTTCCGGTTCCCCGCTGCTTCCGGGACGCTCCGCGGCGAGCGGGGAGCACCCCGCCGAGCGATGGTCGCGTAGCGCTTCACGTGGGACTGGGGCAAGTTGCGCGCCGCAGCCTTCGGCACCTAACGGAAACTGCCCCTTCCCAGCATGCAATCGGGCAGGAAAGGGCCCGCCACGGAAAACTCGGCTATTTCCGGATTAACTCGTCTCCTTCCGTAAAGTGCTCCAGGGAAAAGGCAGCCTAAAACTACATTTCCCATGATGCAGTGGGACAGTTACAGCCAATGTGTTCCTGCACCCCTGAGACACGGTAGTATTTCTGAACTTTAATGTGCCCCAAAATTTCCTAATGAGCTCATTAAAATGCAGATTTCTGGGGTCTGCCCTAGAAAGTCTGCATTTCAATTACGCACCCCGTATGATTGAAGCTGGTGTTTCTCGGGCAACCCTTTGAGAAAACACATGCTGGGGGGCTCCGGTGAAAATGCAGATGAGTAAAGGAACTAACATTGACAAAGAAACTGTTCTAGTACTACTTCTGTTACCAATTTGCTCTGTGACCTTGGGCAAGTCATTGGTTTCTCTGTCGGTTTTCTACATGACTTCTAGGTTGCTTGCAGCTCAGATAGTGTAAGATTCTTTGTGGACCTCTGTAAGATAAGATACTCAGGAATCATGTCGAGAACGTGCGCCAACTCATGTGTGGACTACAAGAGAGCCAGACAAGCATAACAGCAGGACGGGTAGATGTGGTCACTGAAGTCTTCCCCGAAAAGAGGTGAATGAGCTAGGCTTTGACAAGTGGGCAATATTCAGAGAAAGGAGAAAGAAGTGAAGGTTATTCTAGAAGAAGGAACAGCATAAGCAAAGACTTGGAGAGAAGAACAAGTTGCAGGTATAGGGTAGTATGGTATAGCGGCCAAATGCATGGACTCTGAAGTCAGACTGTGCTCAAATCCCAGCTCCATCCAGCTAGTATGCTATGTGAACTTCTCTAAGCCATAGTTCTCTCATCTGTAAAATCAGGGGAGTGATAACAAGGATAGAACTAACTCACAGAGTTTTTTTGTGATGAGTTAAGGAACAGCACTTTGAACTAAGCCTGGAACATAGTAAGTACAGTATACATACTCATGTTTGTCATTATCTCACAAAAGCCAGCAAGATTGCCCAAGCTACCATGATGGTAGCTCTCCCCTGAGCCAATAAAACATCTTCCTAGTAGCATGTGGGATCTTAAAAGCTTGCCAGTGGCCATCTAAGATATAACTATTAGTCTCTTCCTGTCCAGAACGAAAGAGAGTGAGGAAAACCAAAGACTCAAGGAAGCAATTAGTCCAAAGGACTAATGGACCACATGAACCACAGCCTACACAATCCC